GCCCACCACACCCTCACAGATCTGGGGGCGGTTTGTGAGCTGGTCGCTGTTGGCAGCTTTTGCAGCTGTGTGGACAGCGTGAGCATGTGTGTTCCTCTGTGGCTGGGCCAGGTTTTGCTTTTGTCTAGCTTAGAGAGGTTGCTCTCCGGGGCACCCTGCCCGTCCCTTGCAGAGAATATGACAAATGTTGCATAAGGAAGATCAGCCCACATGCATTCACTGATTCATCCACTCAACACATCTGCTGGGAGGATGACTCAGCCGTGACCAAGAGGAGGGAACACCTGAGCTGAGGAGCAGCTAGCGGGGCCAGAGAGGCAAGGGAGGGTGTGCAGAGAGGGCGGGAGCCAGCCCTCAGAAACCACCAGTGCCAAGTGCAACCTGCGGCTTCTCTGTAACTCTCCTTTTAAAAGCCACAGGGAGCTTCTTCAAAGGAAGCCCTGCAGAGTTCGTTTTTAAATGAACTGGAAGAGGTTTTTAAGAGTGCGAGTCTGTGCTGATTGTGGTCTGCATGCTGCATTTCTGGAGGGCAAGGGCTGTTCCAGGTCCACTTGCTCAGCAAATGTTGAGGCCTGTGGCATCCCAGGCAATGTTCCAGGCGGTGGGGATACAAACCCGACTAGCTTTCTCTCCTGGCGCGTCCAGTCTAATGGGGGAGAAGGACAGCAAACAAATAAGTAACTATAGAGTAATTAAAACATGCTATAGAGGAAAGTAAAGCAGGGAAGGGAATGGGAGGGTCCTTCAGGACAGGCCTCCTTGAGAAGGTGGGGGACATCACAGGGAAGAGTGTTCCAGGCAGAGGGGGTAGCCAGGGCAAAGGCCCTGAGGTGGGAGTGTGCTTGGAGAGCAAAAGGAAGAGCCAGAGGGCTGGTGAGGTGGGACCCGAGTGGGAGGGGGAACCAGAGACAGGGTTTAGGTGGGGCCTGAGGGCCACAGGAAGGATTGGGTTTTTACTGGAGTGAGCTGGGAACCACACAGGGTTCTGAGCCTGGGTGTGGGGAGAGGAGTGGGCTATCTGACCTGGGTATGAGCAGGTTCATTCTGGTCGCTGTGTCAGGAAGACTGCAGGGGACAAGGCGGAAGCAGGGGGGCCCGCTGTAGACGGGTTGACAGCCCGTGACTCTCCAGGCCTGGATGGTGGGGGCTCAGTCAGGGCGGGAGTGTAGAGGATGCTGGAATCTGAAGGAGGGGCTGCACATCTGATGGCCCAGATGTTGGGGGAGTAGTGGAGGTGGCATCCAAGGGTTTTGCTTTGCTCTCAGACGAATGGCATCGCCCCTGACTGGGACGGGGAGGGCTGTGAGAGGTCAAGTGTCGGGGAAGATAAGGCATTTATGCGGGCCTGGCTCACAGCGTGCCGTGCCTTACATGTGCTTTCTTTTGTCCCTGGGCCCTGGCAGGTCACCGTGGCCTGCGAGGAGGGCTGGACGCTGACCGGCTGTGGGGCCCACCCTGGGGCCTCCCACACCTTGGGGGCCTATGCAGTGGACAACACGTGTGTGGTGAGGGGCCGGGACGTGGGTGTGCGAGGCAGGACGGGTGAGGAGGCCGCCGTGGCCGTTGCCATCTGCTGCAGGAGCCGGTCAGGGGAGCTGGCCTCCCCGGCGTCCCAGTGACAGCCCCGCCCAGGATGCCTGCGTGGCTGGGGTCCCAGGCCTTGGCTGAGCTTTGAAGTGCTTCCTTTTCCCTCCTTTCTCAGCCCTCCTCAGCCTGGGCCCTGGGGGACAGAGGTACCTCTTTCCCCTGGAGCTCTGGTGCTGGCACTTGGGGTACACTGGCTCCCTGCCTGGGAGAACCCCATCTCTTGGCCCGAGTCACCCCTCCCCAGACCCGAGCTGAGTGGGAGGTTGAATGAGCAGGGCTGCAGGCGCCGGCAGCCCCTCCTTCACTGCGGGGCTGTGTCCATATGTCCATCAACAAGGGTCTGGCTATGCTCAGCTCCCTGCCAGCTGCTCCCAAGTTGCCAGTGCTGTGGGCAGAATTAGCTTTTGTTGAGTTCTTGCTACATGTCAGCCAGGCAGTCAGTCCTCAGGCCTCCATGAAGGAGGTGGTAACCCTCCCATGGGGAGGCAAGGAAGCACTTGACGGCTGGCAGAGGCCAAATGTTGGTCGGAGGATGTGAAAGGTGGAGATGGCCCCTCACCTCCTGCCCACTCTGGGGAGGCCCGGTTGGGCTCCCTGATTATGGAGATGAGTTTTCCATGCCTCTGGGGATGCAGGGTGGCCCTGACAGGGGGTAGGGGGTGGTGGTGATGCTTCCCCAGATTTGGCCCTTTTAAAAATGGCTAAAGGGCAACTCCACCCACATTCCACCGGGTTTCGGAGCAGCACTGGGGCAAAGGCAGGGCCTATTGTACTCATTGGATAGATGAGG